CAGGCTCGGCTCATCGGAGGGATCAGCGCACACAGCCTGGGAAAGACAGGCTGGGGGTGCGGCAAACCCTCCCCAGGATCAGCCCACGTAGGAAGCCACTTTGTTTTAGCCAAAGGTTTTAGCAAAAGTACTCCAAAATTATCCCTTGCTTTGTTGTTGTTGTTGTTTTAAATCTAATGTTCCACAAAAGAGATCACATTATCACTGGTGTAAGGACTTCCCATTTTCCCCTACTTCTAAGAGCTCTTTCTTTTTCCTCAACAAAGCCAGTCAACAAGCGGCAGTTTAGGAATGGTTCAGGGCATGAATTCTGCAGGCAGGTTTCCTGGGTCTGAGTCATGACTGTGAGGATGGGCACGCTGCTCAGCCTCCCTCTGTGGGCCTCAATATCCTTCTTTGTAAAATGGGTAAGATTCGGCCACCCACCGCACACCACCTTGAACAGAGCTGATGCACACACAGCAAGTGTCCAAAGACAGGCAACAGTTGTTAATTGGGTTTTGGGGGAAAAAAAACAAAAAACATTACTACTGCAAGGTCATGACAGCCTTCTACCTAGGCTTTTTTAAAAAAAGCATACGATTAATGTGTTGACTAATTTGATCATCTGCCTCTCCGAGTTGAGAATGTATTTCTTACAGGCCTATTAATTTCTTGTCTCAAACATCTCACCATTTCAGGCATCCAATAAGCGCTCGATACATGTTTGAAAGGAAAAGAGCAAAGCTTTGCAAACCAGATCAGGTGAGCAGTGGTAGTGTTTGTCATATACAAAAATTCAGATTTCATGAGCTTTTGTCGCACGCCTCTTTTATGCTAGGTCCTGCTTCATGAAGACTCTATGTTGCCTTAATACATTTCTATAGAAAGACACATTTATGGAACTGTAATAATAGAATGGCTCCTGGGCTATGCTACCCTCATTTAGGCTAGCCTCTCAGTTTACAACCTAAAAAGGGTTGGCGAACCCAGTCTTGTGGAGGCACTCTTTTAGGCCCTACAAGTAACTCATTCATATGCCTCCAAAAGGGTCTGCCTGAGCACAGCTCAGGGGAACGCAATAGCAGGATGGCATTCTCCCCTCTAGATCCAAGGCAGGATGATGGATGGCAAGGTGCCCCTCTGGGATATAAAAAGCACCTTGGGATGTTTTTAGTACCCACAGAACCCAAGTCACAAAGTTGTGCTTTACAGGATCTCTTTAACCACAGAATAAGGAACTACAATATTACATTCAGGACTTGGCAGCAATTCAATTTCCAAACGTTCGTTTTTCATGAAATCATCTTATATGCCCGGAAAAACACATATCGATCTCAGCTCTTTTACTTTTTACTATATACGGAAGCAAATTCTGAGCCAGTGTTAATGAATACGTGGATTTCAGTCTCCTGAAAGGGATTTTGGGTGTGGTTGAGATAGCTAACTTTGAAAAGTTAGCAACACAGGATACATTATGAGTAAGTTCTTCACTTTTTTTTTTTTAAATAATGATGCTAACTCACCAGATCCTTCTGAAAGAGTCCTTTTATTAATTTCAATGAAGTCAAGCAGAGAACAAGTTGTAATATGAAACACAGTTTATGCAACTATGTTGAAACTCTCTGCCAGGGTTACATCTCCTAATGAAAGAATTTTATGGTAAAAACCATTTCAAAATAATATCAAGCACTAGGTTAGGCTCATTTTGGTTTTAGGCTGTCACAGGGAAACTCTTTCTGCACAAATCATTGAGACCCTAAGGCAACATGATAGTGCCTTTAAGTAAAATTTTTTTTTTAATCATGTTCCCTACAGTTTATAATAAAAGAGCTGAAACTCAGCTTCAATTGAAACGACATTGTTAGGCAACTCTAAAAACTAAACACAAAAAACATGTTAAAATAAAGATTGCAACATCAAGGGAAAACCAGCCTCATCTATGCAGTTTTAGACTCTCGGCCATTCCTGACCCCGGCCCAGATGGCATCAACGGATCCTTCCGAGGTTTTCCCAGTCAGCCAACAAGCTGCTCACTCCCTCCTCAGCCACAAGGGTTACTCAGGGAAAGGCATGCAATGCATTTAAAGGGCCAATAAGAAACCCAGTGAGTGGGTTTGGCCTGCCTCTCAAAACCAATGAACTTCTCATTATATAACCATTAATAACAAGAAAGAAGTTTACAAGTCATACACCCAACTTAACTATAAGGCAGACTGCCTTGCATGTCTCACCGTATTTAAAAAAAGAAGAAGAAAGAGAAAGATTTCTGAATGGCATGACCCATCTTGTCAGGTTGTGAGAAAATTAACGAATCCTCGTGGAACCTATGACTAAGCTCCTTTTTACAACGATTTTCCAGCAGAACGGTGTTTTCAATCAGAAAAGCCCAAGCCTCTGAAACAAAACCTCTGTGACATTTCATTAATTCTTTATAAAATAAAGTAAGTCTTTTAACCACAGGAGAATTCTGAGAATCTAGCTTTTCCAGAAAGCCCAAGAAAAATACTCCAGTTTCACCATTCTCAAATTCGTTTGACTTTGAAACAAAATAAACATATTACTCTATTTAATATCATTGCACAAGCGAATTCACAAGAATGAAATGTGTTCAGAGTTCCTAGAAAAAATGTAGCAATACAGGCTGCCAGCTTGTTCAATGTCAAGCTCGAGGCAGTATAGCAGCCCGAGCAGTAAATGACTCAGAGTGAGTCACGCTTAAGCTATTTTTGCTTTTAAAGTACTGCCAGGCGCTGTGTTAATATTCAACCCAGAGTAAATTTAGCCCAACAAGAAAACAAGTGTTTCCATGGTTGCTTCTTCACAGTGTTTATGGTATATATGCAGCCATTAGGCACCGGAACCCAGCCAGATAAATTAAGTAGAAATGCTCATCTTTCATTTATATCCAGGCTTTGGAAGACTGGAAACACTAAATGCAAATGAGGCTATTTTTCCATCTCCTTCTGTCTGGCTGCACCCCCCAGACCCCAAACAGCAAATAGGTAGAAAGGATAGATAGTATTACTGAACCATTTAAAAGCTCATACCATGAAAGTACCTCTAGTGGATTGTTGTTCATGGGTTTTATTTGGCTCTGTATTACCAGTCGCAACCACTCATATTTCTCTGATAGTGCAGCCGCTGGGGACTAAAATGTTTTTTTAAATGTCTAGTAAAAACAGTAGAAAATGTGGACTCCAGATACCAAACGGAATCCTTTTACAGTGTCATGTATAGTGCCTGGTCAGAGTCTGGTAATGTGGAAATGTGAGTGCTCAGAAGGTGTTCACAAAATAGGGTTATAGGAGACGAACGGCTAGAATTGGACTGGTCAAAAAAAGTCTCAATTTTGCAGAATATGCTTCCTATTCCAAATGCACGTGGAGTTCTTATACTTGAGTGAACACAGTGAGTTAGTAATAGACGCTAGGACTTTTCTTTCAATAAATCCACCTGTCTGTTTATAGCTGTTAGAATTTTCAGCGTTAGCTATAGGATCGATGCTACCTCTACTTACAGGGGCTCGGTATTTTGCTCAGGAAAAAATATTAAAGCTAGATAGCCCAGCCCAGGTTTTCCAAGTAGGATGCATGCATCTCAGAGTGTATGCAAGATCTTAAAACTTCTACTGGTCATTAGCTTTTATCCAGAAAAATTGGGTTTCACTAATAATGTACATAGTGACGGTATGCAGAACATGTATAAATATTAATAAACAAAATATCGGGAGGCGTATGCTGATTCGCTGAACATCGCCTCCTGGAAGAGGGGTGCCTTCTCATCATGTTCCACCCTAGTACAATGTGTTTTTTTACATTTAAATAGTTACTGGCACAAAGGAAGTGGAGTGGAAAAGGCTAGGTCAGCGAGCAACTGGAGAAGAGAGAGAAATGGTAATCTGAGCAAGGCACGACTGGAAAAGAGCCACACAGAGCACCTCAGCACAGCTGTAATGACAGGACTGGGCACACCGACAGACACACAGACCAGCCCAATCGAAGGTCCATGCTCTGAATACAAGCCCTGACCAGTTCTCTTCTCAAGATTCCCTAGGGCGCCAGGGCTCCCTGAAAATTATAGAAGGGTCAAAAGCTATTTTCAGAGAACTGGGAAAGCCCAGCACAAGTGTAATTATAGAACAGACATCTTTCAAAACACGTGGCTAACGGGGAAAAACTGGGAAAGGGGTATCATGGTGGCGGCAAAAGGCGGAAGCTCCTAAAATAGTCTCCAACTTGGTTGCATGGGATCTTTAATTCCATGGAAAGCATCTAGCACAGCACTTGGCATACAGTAGGTGCTTAATAAATCTTTGTGGGCTGGCCGAGTGGCGCGATGGTTAAGAACTGGCTTGGGACGCCAGAGGGCCCCGGTTCAGATCCCACATATGAGGGCCAGGACACTGCCCTCTACAGCTAAGATGCTGAACAACAGCTCAACCTGGAGCTGGGCTGCTGTGAGTCACCGGCGACGGCGTAGGCTGCAGTTCCTGTGGCAGTGGGTTGCCATGGGCTACCGTGTGTAGCCAGCAGCCAGCGTGAGCGGCCAGCAGCCGCCGTGAGCGGCCGTCCAGAAGCCGGCGACTGATCTGCCTCACCTGGGAAGAGCGCAATGATGGTGCCAACTTGGGCCAGTGAAGCAACGTCCTCCACAACTAGACTGAAGAACAAAAGGACAGCAACTTGTCTGTTCCCCTTCCCCCAATTCCCCAGCGCTGTTCCCATCCCCCCAATTCCCCAATAAAAATCTTTAAATAAAATAAATAAATAAATAAATAAATAAATAAATACATCTATCTTTGTGGAGTAAATGGATGGAATACATAACCGTATACCCACCAAACATCTTATCTGAAACCCACACGTTCTAGAGCTCTGTATTGGTGACTATATGTTTACTGTATAGATAACTTGCAGAACCTGAAAGCCTAAGGAACTACAAATAATTTATCAGAATTTCTCGCTTTCAGATTCCCTTGATTTCACTAATTCTACCAATAGTTCAGGTATCCTACTCACCTTGACATGAAAGTTTCAGGTGAGAGGAGCAGGAAAAGTAGTTCAATCTTCACCGAAGGAACATATGAAAGTCTAAGCAGAGACAAAAGTGGGAGGAATGTAGAGCTGAAACGTGAGATCTCGTTTAGGGCAGTGAAACTCTTCTCTATATTATCATGGTCGATAGATGACATTATGCATTTTTAAAAACTCACAGGCCATATGACCCAGTAATTCCACTTCTGGATATCAAGACCTGAAAGCAGGGACTTGATTAGATATTCATATACGAACGTTCATTAGCAGCATGATAGTCATGAGGTGCGAACAGCCCGGGTGTCTACTGGCAGGTAGATGGAGAAACAAAACATGGTAGATACATACAACGGGATGCCAGTCAGCCTCGAGAAGGAACGAAGCTCTGATACATGCTGCCTGTGGGTGAACCTTAGAGAAATGGCATTAAGTGAAATGGGACAGTTATAATAGGACAAATATTATATAAGTCCACTTACATGGGGTATCTAAAGTAGTCAAATACAGAGACAAAGTAGAACGGTGGCTACCTGGGGCTGCGGGGAGGAGGGGCGAGGAGCGGGACTTGCAGCGTGGGATAATGGAAACGCGCTTGAGATGAAGAGTGGTGATGGCCGCACGACAGTGTGAATACACTTCATGCCTCTGAGCTGCATGCGCTGAGGTGGTAAATGTCATGTTCTATGTATTATACCAAACAACAGACCCCAGAGAACAGACCGCTGATGTAAATGACGGACTTCAGTTAATACTGTATTAATATTTGTCTCTCAACTGTAACAAATACACCACACGAATATGCAAGATGTTAAAACTTGGGGAATTGGGGGCAGGGAGCATATCGGAAATCTCTGAACCACGGGCTTAATTTTTCTGTAAACCTACAACTGCTCTACAAAATAAAGTCTATTCATGAAGAAGAAAAATCGAAGCAACAGAGGTTGCTCTACAGCAAACTCCTTTCTTTCATGTCACGCCCTGTCCTGACCCCCCAGTGGACACTTTCCTTATCTGGGCCCCTGAATCCCCTCATCTGGACCCTGAGCCCCCACCACTCAGCCTCCTTTCCTGCCGGTTCTGATCTCATCTCTTTAATGTTCACGTGTGTCCTGATTCTCGAGGCCTGGATTCCTGATTCCCTTGCCCTGGGAGCTATGCTATTCCCCAGTCTGTCTACCTTGCTCTGACTCATGACTGGTCCTGACCTCACTGTTTGTGTATAGTTGCCCTGGAAGGCACTGGCTTACTGCTAACCCCTGATACTCTAAACCTTGATACAGTTCCCTCACTCTGTCTACCAACCTTGTATTTATCTTGCTGGAAGGCCGGCCCAGCCTAGTAGTAATTAAATATGAAGAGTGTTTGGGGGAATAATATTGGCACAAAATGATAATATTCAAAAACACTTTTAAAAACCAGAAATAAAAGAGTTCATTATTCAATGTAAAATGCTTCTTTATAAGGTTCTCAGGAGCAGAATTTTATTCTACCTTCTGGCTTCCTGCCTTAGTTCTATGTTCACAGGGTGTACTAAATGTAACATGAGAGAACTGCAAGCTTGAATGCCTACCAGGGAAAGACAATTCAAGTGTAGCAGATATAAGGCAAAAAAGGAACGGTCAGAAGAGTGACTAAGTGGGAAGGGCAACTTCATCTAAATGCATTTAAAACCAACAAATCCCAACACTGTGCGAGCCAAACAAAACTTACAGTTCAGGCTGATGTGGCCTGTAGACCTCCAAGCCTCTGTGTGATTTGGAACACTGTGGGGAGTGGGGTGGGGAGAGGGGGGGAGAGAGGAAGAGAGAGAAAGAGAGAGAGAGAGAGAGAGAGAGAGAGAGAGAGAGAGAGAGAGAGAGAGAGAGAGAGAGAGAGAGAGAGAGAGAGAAGGGGAGCGAAGGGGAGAGAAGGAAAAGGATGAGTGCCTTGTGTAGTAAACCCTACTATTTATGACACTAAATTTGAGTTAAATCACTCCATAAACATGTTTATTTATTAAATTCACAGAGAGAGGAACTCAGTCCTATGAAGGATATAGGCATTCAGGCCACATTACAGAATGACTAACCCTTTGGCCAAATGAGAATGCAATTAATAACGCGACTGGTTTCCTGCATGCTGTTGAGATGTAGATAACCCTGTGCAGGCTAAAAGGCCTTTCTCTGTGGCCTGATTCACTTTGCTTTCAGTGTCCTCAAAGGGGAACTCATATGGCAGAGATTAAAAGCTGAAAAAGAGAAACGAACACCAATGTTCAAGATTTCTCTTTAATAAAGGGGTCTATTCTTTCAAAGCCAAATAAGTTTTTGCCTTTCCCATTCTAATTTTATAAAAGGGAATTGAACGATGATCAGTTATCATTTACTGCTAAATACAATTTTTGGATCAGAAAATACTTACTACTAGACATCGATCTTAGGATATTTTTTTTAATAGATCACAGAATGTTCTTCACATTAAGTCTCTGACATGAAGTAAATGGGGCAAAGGCCTCTGTCCACTGATCCTGATCAATTGAATGATCAGATGAATTAGAAGGCACACTTTCCTCCAGGCATATGGGGACATGCCTTGGTGACTAGAACACAGGCCAGCATCTAGTCACCTTTCATCTCCTCAGCAAGGTGCTTCAGTGCCATGCACAACAGTCTACAGTGGACCTCTCCTATCCCACAGCTGGAATAAGTTATTTTAATAAAGGAATTATTTAGATTCTGGGAGTCAGTACTTTCTAGCCTATCAGGTCTCTTCAACTGAACAACCATCCTGAATTTACAGACTATCTAAGATGTCAAAATCATTCATACTCTGGCAATGGCTTTCAATGGTTTGATATCCAATCACTTCCCTGAATCTTCCCTCCCCTCAGACCAACAACTTCACTGCCCACTCTACACTTCTCCCCTTGCTGTCTGGAGAGGTGTACGTACCAACCTGGTTATGAACTTGGCCTCCCAGCACAGCTGCCTGGCTCTCATGGCCTCAGCTCTGCGGAGGCAACCTGTCAGCTCCACCAAGTTCCTGAGTTTCTTCATTACCCGAGAATGACATCTTCTATAAGATTCTTCCCACCTGACTCACCCAGCTCTACAGAGTAGGCCCAGAAAGGCTCTCTCTAGGGCTGTCAGGAAACGAGTCATAACATCTTCTTGGTATCTTCAAGTAAATTTGTGTTAGCATCTCTAACAAAGTAAAAGTCAGTAGCAAATAGGCTGATTTGGGCACTGAGAATGATTCATATAAGTTAATTAAAATACTTAACACAAAGGCAGGAACTAGTATATGATATTTAGAAAGCGATAGCCCCCTCTTCTTCAAAATTACATAAATAGATTGATTCTGCCCACTTAGGATAACCAATCCATAAGCATTCAGAGAACAATAGCATGTAAGTAACTGAGGGACAAAACAATGCAAAAATGCGTAAAAGAATGACATTTCCCATCAAAACTTGGGCTACATGCCAATGGGACAGAACATCAGAAACTAGAAGTCTTATTTAAAGTTAAGGAATATAGGGCCGGCCGAGTGGCTCAGCTGGTTAAGAGCTCGCTTGGGAGCACCAGCTCTGAGCAGCAGGCCTGCGGTTTGGATCCCACATTGAGGGCCAGTGACACTGGCCCTCTATAGCTAAGATGATGAACAACAGCTCAACCTGGAGCTGGGCTGCTGTGAGTCGCCAGCAACAGTGTAGGCTGCAGTGGGGCTGCAGTGGGCTGCCGTGAGCTACGTGGGTGGCTGGCAGCCAGCGTGAGCGGCTGGCAGCCAGTGTGAGCTACTGGGAGCTGCTGTGAGCAGCTGACCAATGACCGGCGACCAATTGCCTCAACCGGGAAGAGCACAATGATCATACCAACATGGGCCAGTGAAGCAATGTCCTCCACAACTAGACTGAAGAACAAAAACAGCAATTTGTCTACCTGTCTGTTCCCCTTCCCCGATTTCCCAATGCTGTTCCCCTCCCCCCAATTCCCCAATAAAATCTTTAAAAAAATAAATAGCTAAATAAATAAATAAATAAATAAATAAAAATAAAGTTAAGGAATATAAGTATAATGAAAATATCAGATTACCCAAAATGGCAAAGAGCTGAAAATGTAAGGGAGGCAGATGGAAATATTCTAAAGGATAATAACAAACAATGCAAAACAGAAAAAGAGCAGTTTGTCTGGGACATGGAAGTGGCAAAGACCAAGAGGTTTACTAACACTTGAGTTGGGCGGTATGGAGGAAATGGGCTTTCCCGTACATTATTGATGAGAATTTCAATTAATATCATCTTTATGGAGGGCAATTTATCCTCCACAGTACAATTTAAAAATTCACATATGCTTTGACTCAGCAATTTCACCAGCATTACAGTTATAGACCTACTTGTGTAGAATTCTGAAGGTTTAAGAATATTTATTGCAGCAATGTCAACAACAGTCAAAGAATAATTATCCCAATCATTAAGGGACTGGTTAAAAATTATGAGCTACTTTTAATGGCTCAGGTAACTTTTGTGAGTTCTGCCACTCATCTTCTAAAACCTGTAAATAAAATGTTAATAATCGTGAAAAAAAATTATGAGCTACTATGGAGCACGAAAATGTGAGGAAGCCCTATATGTACTGATATGGAAGAATATCCAAAATATGTCAAGTGAAAAGCAAAGTAGAACAGTGTGTCTAATATGCTACCATCAAAACACACACACACACACACACACGCACACACACGCACACACACACACACACACACTCACACACACACTCACACAATTTCTACAGACAGAAGAAACCAGAAACAGTAACTGCCTCCAGAGAGGCAAAGATCTTTTGTACTTTATGAATTTTATACTACATGCATATATCACCTAATTAAAAAATATATATATATATACACATATATCTGTGTGTATATATGTTTATATACATATACATCCATATTCACATAAATATACATATACAGACACACACACACACACACGAAGTGTATAGTAAGGAAAGACTATCTTAAGCAGGAGCGGTTAACCAAGGTTGCCCACAGAAGGCACTCTGAGCGAAATCAGCCTGGGAGAGATGGCTATGTAAGGCTGGGAGGTGCCCTGTGGGCCAGAATGGCAGGAAAAAAGAAACAAGAAGCCATGTTTTTTTGTCTGCAAAGAGAAGGTGGATTAGAAAGAGGCTAACGTTATGCAGACACGGAACGCTCCTCCATTTTCCACACTTCTCTTACAGTGCTTCTCTCGTAATAGGGCATGTGTACGAATATGTAATGGGATGCATTCACGCACCGAGTGTCTTTATGAACCAGGAACTATGCTAAGTGCTGAGGACATAAAATCAGTGCGACTCACTTCATCCCCAGTGAGCTCTCCACCGAGGAACATGCCACGCTAGGAGAGCAAAGAGGAATTCCACAGAGAAAGACCTGACTCACAAATATGTAAGAGCAATTATCTATCCGTTGTGTATGACACAATAATACTGATGGTAGTGATGAAAATCAATAGCTAACACCTATATAACATTTACTGTGTCTAACATCTATTGGTCTAAGTCACTTTCATGTATTAATTCATTTAATCTTCACAACAACCCTATGAAGCAGTATACTATTATCATACCATTTTAATAAATGTAGAAACTGAGGCACAGAGAGGTTTGTTTTTCTTATATATATTAAAAAAAAACTTATCCATAGTTACACAGCGAGTAAGGGGCAGGACCCACCCAGGTTTGAATTCAAAAAGTGTGGTCCTAGAACTAAGCTATGAACTACAACTAGTGACCCTGAAAGCACCAGTGCCAATCTCAGAATAATTACAACCTTCCATTTATTTGCATAGGACTTTGCAGTTCACAGAATACGTTCACATGTTATCTCATTTTCAATTTATAATAGCCTTGTAATCCATTCTCTTTGAAATTAACACTACCCCAAGCGAATAAAACAGATGAAATAATCAAAGCAATTTATAAATTCTCAAAATTCCCATCACTGGAAATAACTGAAGTAGTAGACAAGTTTCCCTCAAAGAATTCTCTAGAAATTCATCACATGGTAACATTCAAGTTAGGCAATATAAGGCAAGCATCACTCCTTTCATAGGAAAGGCATGGAGATAAACTCAATAACGGATTCCCGTATTACAAATACCATTTAAACAGTAGGATACTGCCTTTGATTTACTAAAACAAAAATGATGATTCTTATATTCTATTATTAATTATATAGATATGTTGAGCACTTTGGCAATTGGCATATGTTTAAATATTGTACTACTCAATTAGTATTAAAATGTACCTTAATCAATACTTCTCCTCAAAAATAGTTAAACTTGTTTAAACAGAACAAATTAGGAAAGAAAGTCTGAAAAGCAAATTTACCTGTCAAACTTAGGCAAGGAAATTCCCCAATTTCTTTCTACCAGCTTAGCTCTTCAATAGGTCCAGACATATTCGTAGAAAGTACCAGCTGACATCACTCAATGGGGGTTTCCTGACTTTTGTTAATTTTGGATTTCCTTGTGTCTGCTTTTTTAATCAATACATGACTAAAGAGAGCACTATTCAATGTAAGTAAAACGTGCACTTCCCTTATAAAGTAAAATAAATATTCTCCACTCAATTTTCCAACCAAAGTACACAAATATCTGATGACAGAAAATAAAGCCTTGGCACCACTGGAGGAAAAAAAAATTGCCAACCATTTTCCCAGCATGTTTTCTACAGTCTTTCTACAGTATTATCTCATGCTCTTTAATATTTGCCTCTGTGAGTCT